AAATAAACCCTGATGGCAAGGGCAGTTATAATTTGGGAAGCTTCCATTCAAAGACAAGGAAAATGGTGGTAGGAGCTGGTACAATACTGTATTAAGGTAAGGTCTAAGACTTCTGGGATTACACTATAATTTTGTATGTCATTTAAATAACAATGCCTTTTTATTCCCCACTGTTGTGGAGGTACACTTAAAACCAAACACTTAACCATTACAGAATCACCTGCAGAAGTACAAAGGGACAGTCTGAACCCATAGAGGATGAATTGCCAAAGAATTATTTTTCAGCAGCTATTAGCTGCAACTTCCACCATTCTGGAAGACTGGTGAACACCCCATTCACAAACAACTCGGTGTAGCAAGAGGAGTGCTAAGTCCATTTACCTACCTAAGCAGATCTCTGTTGTCCCTACAGCATCTCTGTGTTTGGAAAGAGGAACTTCTGCTTACTACTCAGGCTACGCTTTAGTTTGTGTATAATTCAACTGATCACTTCAGCTGGACTCATGTTTCTAACTTAAGTCTGTGAATGTACTATAAAATACAGCAGAAAAATCACAAACCACTATTAGTGCTGGACATTGCCTAGAGGTAAGGAAAACCTGAGAAGAGAAGGCTAAAGTTCAGAAGGTATCAGCATTACCAAGCATGGATAACTCTTAATGGAGGAAGGAAATCAGCACCTGGGGGGGGGGGGGGGAGAGTAAGCTCTGCAGGAGAGTATAAAATGCCATATGAAAAAGCTTTTATAGTTCTAAAAAAGTGGTTCTGTTAATTTCTATTCTATTGTAAAGTCAAATCAACACTAGCATTCGCTTTTCTGCTGTGTTGACAAAAAACTCCATGTACATGACGTGTATCTTGTAATACTGTCGAATCCTGTTGGTGTCGTATACCACCTGAGAAATATACGGACATTTTCTTTTGATACCTTTAGCATTTCTTCTGCTAGTGCTATTCTAAAAACAGTATCTTTAGGCAAATATTTTAAAAGAATGATTACTTTAGACAATTTGATGTCTTCTCAATTGAATTATGAATCCTGAAATAAAAGGTTATGTGACTACCTAGTACCAATTCATTAAATCTCTTAAATATTCAATATATGCTTTTCAGTAACCTATCTCACATGTGCAATTAATAATGCTACTCTGACAGCAGACATCAAGGAAGGCTAGAAGTGAGACTCAAAATATCCTCCCAAAATTACAGCAAGCCAGATTTATCAGCTTGTGAGGAAACAAATTTAAGTTTCTATTTACACTTTACAAATAGAACAATAAAAGCACTAGGACTAGCATAAACATGGAAAAAACAGTGCCATGATTTTTAACACCACTCACCACCCGCCAAAAAAAGTTCTCTGTAAAATTGCAGGAAATTACTCAGGAGTAACATATTCAAGTATTGAAACTGATGGCCTTCTATATAATTAAGATAAATTACATTTAAAACTTCACTCACAGATTAGGAAATGCAGTAAGCTTAATTTCTTATACTGAGGTATGGACTAGTATTAGCACAAGCACAGCGCTTTTCATTTACTTTACAAATGGCAGGAACAGCTGAAAACTATCAGCAAAGTCCACAACACACAGTAGAAACTAACAGTGAAGCAGATCATAGCTGATCTTACTGAAACACAAAAGTATGAAACTAATGTGAGAGCCACGAAGATGATGAAGGGAGTGGAGCATCTCCCTGCTGAGGAAAGGCTGAGGGAGCTGGGGCTCTTTAGCTTGGAGAAGAGGAGACTGAAGGGTGACCTCATTAATGTTTATAAATATGTAAAGGGCGAATGTCAGGAGGATGGAGCCAGGCTCTTCTCAGTGATGCCCAATGGTAGGACAAGGGGCAATGGGTGTGAGCTGGAACACAGGAGGTTCTGCTTCAACTTGAGAAGAAACTTCTTTCCAGTGAGGGTGCCAGAGCCCTGGGACAGGCTGCCCAGGGAGGGTGTGGAGTCTCCTTCTCTGGAGACATTCAAGACCCACCTGGACGCCTTCCTGTGTGATCTCATTTAGGTTCCTGCTCTGGCAGGGGGGTTGGACTGGATGATCTTTCGAGGTCCCTTCCAATCCCCAACATTCTGTGATTCTGTGATTCTGTGTAAAGTGGATGCAATTTCACTGGCCTTTTTCTACCATTATACAGTAAGGCATATGGAATGCAGAAAGTAGTGCAACAGTAGTACATCACATGGAAATATTTTGTTAATTAATATAAAAGTTAATAGCTTGTTAACTAGAATTTCTCAGACTTACAACGGTTCTGTTGTCACAGACTGAGCACCTCATGAAATACAAGGTTTTGTTTTTATTTTATGACAGGCTAGCAATGCTCCTGAACTGGGAGAAGTTGCATGGGAAAGATCTCCTAACATCTCCTTGTCTCTAACATTTTTGTCTCAGGAAAAAATATTAAGACAATTCTGTATCCACTGTTTTGATGTACAAGATTTTTTACATTTATTCATAATCCTTCTGGATTTGGATCTATGGCAACATTTTCAGGTGACAAACCTGTCTTTTCCAATAGATACCAATGAAGTGTGAGGATAATTAAAACCCACCTTCTCTCTGATTCAGTAGCTTTTAGTGTTGTAAGGGTTTTCTTTTGTGGGTTTGTTTCTACTGATTACAGGTTCAGTGTTGAATTGGCGACACTACTCATGTAACTTAAGCAATTGTAGTAGGACTGTGATATAATTGCTCTGTCCAGAAAATCTCTTATGTGGTAACTCTTCAAAGCTGTATTTTGTTACCTCATTCAAACAATACATGAAACATACATGGTAAGCCAGTAATTTCATTAGGACTATAGGACATCCATGCATAACGATGTCCATGTCTCCAGTCAACTGCTTTAGCTGTTTAAAGTCAAGCCCAAGTCATGGGTTCATGGAACCCCTGGCATTAGCAGTGGCAAAGAGCTTTATTTCCCCTCTGTATCCAGCTGCGTTTTCTCATGCTTTATTCTGGTTTTGAATCTTGGCATTTTGATGCAGATTTTTAAGACCCTAGAGGAGTTTACTGCAATGAATTCCACTGCCACTGCTCACATCAGGTAGTGTTAACAAAATGAGCAGCGGGTTTATTAAGAGTTCTTAAGCAGCTGCACCAGCTTGGAGGTCCACTGCTGAGCATGAATGATCATGTGCCACCTCTGCAAGTTTTACAAAGTAAACCATCAACAACAACCTCTTTGCCCTTTAAGGACAGAGCATTAATTTGTGCTCATCCTTCCTTCCTTCCAGCTCTAAAATTGTACCGCACCCCCAAGTGCAGCGCTGCCACTTGCCTGACCTGTCAGAGGAACCCTGACAGAAAACCAACCACTCCAAAAAGTGGATCAGTGGTCTTTCTCTGGGAAGGGCATGGTTTGCAGATCATCTCTGCTGAAGATCTGATGAAAATCAAGAAACTACTCTATTAAAGTAGGCATCTAACTCGCCTCCTCTGGAAAACCTGCAGTAGTGGTGTACAACAATGTTCTTAGATTTTAACATATTAAAGGGCTGTTTCTGAGGGTCTCTTGAAAGTAGACTCAATTGTTAGAACGGCACCTGGGTTCAAGAATGTGAATATCTTCATTTCTACCTCATAGACAGTTTTCTGCTGTGTAAGCCTTCCAAAACATGAGGTCCTGAAATTTGTAGATTAAATATGATGTTTATCTGAAAAATCTTTTTACTTATAGATGACGTGCTGTATTTTTTTTGAAAGATAACAGTGTAGTGGATTTTTTTTTCTAATAGCGACTACATACCTTCTATAATTAAGAATTTGGCTTTGTCTGTGGAACCGTCCCTAACATCTTAAAAGCACAAGTAATTTAAATACATAAAACATGAATTTTGTAGAGCAGATAAGGCAGCTAATGTGTAATTCTAGTTTTAAGTATCAATTTATGTAACTTCTTAGGAAAAAGACTGTATCCTTCAAGAGAGAATATGAAAGCTGCACGTTATCTTAATGCTTGCTTACGTGGAAAATACTTAAGGAAAATAGCCTGCGTATGAACTTAAACTGAAATGACTCAGACACATTCTGTACAGAGTCCTTTCTCTACTTAACAGCTTTTCTAAACAAGGAAGTAACTTGGAAAGGCTCCCACTATGACACCTCTGTGACTTCTAACAAAAGCACTGCTGTGCAGCATTGCTTAATAGGTAAGTAGCTCAGCTTCGCAGCTCAACAAAATCAAATGAGGGAGCTGCTAAACCTTGAAAGGAACTGTTTAAAGAAAGTGAAAACTCTGCTTTTTTTTCTATCCTTTCATATTCTTCTCCCCTAAAACCTTCATAGACAAATCACTCCCACATGAAGAGAGAGAGATAGCAGATGTAAACAGTACCCAACAAATCCACCTTGTTTTGATGGAAATGGAGTTCCTTCACGTGTTAGAACTGCAAATCATTAATTATTTCTGTACCTTCTGTGCCAAGTAGGTTATAAGTTAAATCTGCAACCTCATACTCAAGGGACTAGGCGTGTGTACACAGTCACTTGCCATGACTCTACCAGAAGGCTGAGCACTGAGATGCTTCTATAATTTGCATACTTGCAATTTTCTGTCTGTACTTTAACACACATTTACATAGTTTGGGTCCATCTTACGAATTCTGCAGGATCTTATTTAAAACTGTTGTCAGCAGATGATTAAAAAAAAGCCTGTTATAAAACAAATGTTAGGTGTCAATAAAGAAATACCTACCCAAGACCTAGCTGTGTATGTAGGAGACTCATACCAGGGGAAAATTTACCCTGAGTGGAGCTTTAGTGCAACTACCTCAAGATTCACTTCTCCCAGTAAATCTATACTTCTATGTTAATATTTTAACTGTCAGTAATCAAAGTGATTTGTATTCACAAAAATATGAACACACAAATAAAAATCCAGTCGATGTACTCAATTCCAGTCACTTACCAGTTATTCCAGTCGTCTACTTCAGAAAAATAATCTGTATTATAGTTCTCTGCTTGTTTCTATTAAAAACTTACCTGTTACAAGCTCTTTTATTTCGGCATCAACAGATTTTCTCAACAATCGTAAAAGGGCAGGTATCCCACCAACATTCTTCATTGCTATTTTGTTCTCATCAGTAGACTTTCCATACACGAGGTTTCGCAGTGCACCGCAAGCATTCTTCTGAACTTCCAAGACTCTGTGATCCAAGAGATCAACCAGGTGCTTGATTCCTCCCAGCCTACATACCTAGGAAACAGACATCGGTGACATCAGCACCCACTGATTTCACCCATTTCACTCTACAGATTATAAAGGGGTTTTTTTAATAAAAACAGTACCTTCCATTCTGCTTCAAGAAGAAATACTGTTGGTAAATCGCACTAACTTGATTGTTACCCTGCACTGAAAATTCCTGTGAACAACTCGCATCCTTGTTGAAAAGGCTGATGGACATTTTCAGTCACTTGCTGTGTTCAGAGAATCGTTACTGCTAAAGTTTTGTTTCCCAGTAATGCAGTTTTAAAAGTAATTTCCTATACCTCAGAATAATTTTTTAAGGAATATTAGAAATAAGAAGGCGCAAAGATTTAAATGCCAACTTTTACACTTAGCTACCCACAGACAAGTATCAGTTCCAATCAGCCTATATCCAGTCCTATTGGCATATCTGAAGTTCTTTTTAAAATTAAGGTCTACTCTGCAGAAATGTCATAAAACAAAAATAAATCTTTATGTTGTTTGCTTTAAGCAGGTTAATTGCATTTTTTTTTTAATTTTAACATTCTGTTTTGAGATCATTTCTGTGTAGTACTTTGTTCAAAATAACTTCCAGAAATGATAGAAGATTGAAGTATTTTAGAATTCTGTAATATGTACTAAAAAACCCCCTATTTTAAAGAGATAACCAAGTAGCACCACTTAGAAGATTAACATTAATTTTAAATTAAAAGTCACCACCAAAAGGCTGAAAAAAAAAAAAAAAAAAAAAAAAAGAGCTATTTTGCAATATCAGATCGATCGATTACAGCCCGGCACTACTTTAGCACAGCACAGTGACTTTTGTGCCGTACTATCCATAGAATAAGCACAGTGAAGCTGGCATAGGAGCTCTTTAAGAACCCCACACCTACAGCAGCTAAACTGCTGCTGCCCTAAGGAGTGGATCCCATGGTGAACAGGAAGCGATACACCATCACTCCCGAGTGCTCTGCTTGCGCCAGACACTCACAGGAGATGTAAAACACGAGACCCAAGGGCTCTAGATCAGCATTGGAAGCACTTTGAGAGGCCCCGTTTCTCTTCTAACCTGCATGATAATCAGCTTGGCAAGCCACAAGGCTATTGAAATACATTAATGTGTACAAGTTTCCATGGAATTTTGGCTTTAAAAATTGTCTTTTATTGGCCATAAGGACAATAAAATTATTCTCAATGAAAACATAACTGAGATTTAGCCAAATCACTCTAACTTGATACTTTGAAAACCAGAATCTTCTGTCTATTACATTCTTGAAAATTGCACTGGGTACCAAAAAGGTTAGTATCTTTATCTGCACCTTATAACGCCCAAACAGGAGAGGTTACCAGTGAAAAACCAGTGCTAGGTCTATGACTAACACCGCATGTTATTTCCACCTGTCAAATAAAAGAAATAAAATTAAAGATTGCTGACTTGGAAATTTTTTAGACCTCAGTTTAGAATGCGTGTGTTTCAAAAGGAAACATGTATTTACACACCTAGATATACCTACCATGTAAGTGAAAAATCCAGGGGACAAAGTTTGGCGCTTGATCAATTAAGACAAGCCACTGCTATGTCAAAAGCCACCAGGAATCTGTATCTAAAGGCATTCAGTGGACTTCAAGCCTAAAGTTATTCACCTGGCAAGATTTCTGCAGCTAGGAAATAAGTATTGCCTTACAGATTATTTATTTGATACAGACTACATTGAAAGCATATACTGCAGAATTCTATAAAAAAAGATAAAATTTAAAAAGTTGTTCTTTTTCAAGGCAAATAATTCTCATTTCTGTTACTAAATAATGGAGCAACAAATAACTACCCATACTTTCAGTTAAATCTCCCTCTCATATGTCAAAACAGCACACCAAACACATCTACACTGCACATCCATGATACAGATACAAGGTATGAATGACGAAATAGCTTTATCATTTTTCAATCCGTATTCAAAACTTGACGAGATACAGTTTTTGTGTATATAATATAAAATAAAACTGGACTAGAAATCCATTCTTGAGATTTGTGTTTTGTTGGCTCATTAGCTATTTTAAAACATAACAGCTGTTCCTAGTTTGAACAGGCATTTCCATTTCTAAATGAAAAAAAATCAGAATTCTTGTAAAATGATGCGTTCATGAACTAACATATCAGTATTGTATGTATTTACAGATAAATATTCATTACATGGAAGTGTAATTTATTCATTTTGTGTAGTTTCATAGCTAATATAAATGGCAAAGATGCTCCCCCCCCACACACCCCAATAATCAGTTTCTTATGCTTATCTTCAGGTTTTAGCAATGCAAGTGTTCTAGTTCCTTTTGCTAGGCTTTTAATACTCCTGATTGTCTAGAAAATAAATCTGGTCCTTACTACAGCAATAAAATATTAAATTTAAATAATGAATGAAAATACAAAAGCAGTCCTCAAATAGGGCTTTACTGAATTCTTTACTAAAGAATTATTTTATATTATTATATTTATAATAATAATCAAAACATGCTGATCCCTATCCACCATCCCAACTCAAGAGACAGCTTCTTAGGAGACTTAAAGCCTCATCAGGAAACACTGACATAAGGCTTGCTCTCCCAGGAGTGCAGGAATATTCTTTTCTCCTCGAAGCCAGACAATTGCATTCTTTCTGTCATTGTACGCTAAGAATCTCTAACGGCTGATTAGTTTCCTCTGAAAGAAATAACTGCCAGTACATAAATCTTCTCTGTTTGAAAAGGAGACATTTTCTGTTCCAAAATTCCACACACTAAGTGGAAGGCAGGCTGCATTTACTGTTCTGTCTCTGACTATTGTACCTCGTCTTCTAAATCAAAAACAAGACCTTTTTCTTTGGATAAGGTTTTATGAGCTTGATTATATGGTATGTGTCTGTAATCCTTTATACCTGAACTGATTAAAAACACATCAAATATTTCTAATGCTAAGTAGGGTAAACAAGTGAGAGACAACTTCATAAATGACATGAAAAGTAGCACCATATTCAAATTCTACTTAAACTGTGGCATATTTCTTTTAGTTTTCTGTACTTTTGAAAAAACTAAAGCAGATATTCCATAATTTCTAAAACAAATTCTGTAATAATAAAAATGAAAGTGAAGAAACACAAGATAGATGAACATGTGCAGACACATAATAGCCCAAGAATTCCTAAATAAGCTGTCATATCCCTTCTAATATAACAAGACTACCTTATAAATCTGTCTACGTTTGATTATCACTGCACTTTTTACCAGAACGTCAAAACTACCACCATCTTTTCATCTGCCTTCCAGCAACACTGAATTCTTATAAAAGTTGAACCTACATTTCATATTTATACTGAAAATAACAGATAACACACACATATATATGAACAAAAAAGCAAATTCCTTCATATCAATAGCTCATAGCTGCTCTGCAAAAAGAGCAGCTCTTTTAATACAAAGTCTTTAGAAATTTCAACAATAATCTGAATCTTTACTCATCAGACGTATCCTTCCTCCACACCATATTGACATAAACACTATCCTTGATATATTCCTACAGTTGGGTTTCTTTCATTTGCTTGACAGCTCACTCATTCCCTGTGATGCCTTAAAATATCTTGATCAAAATCAGGGGAAAGCCTTTCAAAACTCTTGTTTTTCTTAGTCTCCAGTCATCAACAGGTTACACAAAACCAGGCTCTAGTAAACAAATTTTCAGTTCTGCTAGATTACACAACTCGAATGTAAAATAGTTTCGTGTAATTTCCATGCAGCCTCTTACAACAGGAAAAATGTCTGTGTCTGTGTAATTACACACACCTAGGTACTTCAATACTATCATACATCTGGTACAAACAGACACACAAAAGGGTCCAAAATATTGTGCAATGACAAAAAAAACAACACCAAAACCAAAACACAACACCCCCCCCCCAGAGGGAAAAAAAAAAAAGCCCAAAACAATAGGGAAAGGTGATTCTTTTTTTTCCCCAGTTTCCCCAGAAAGAGACAGGCACTCGGTACAGTACCTCTGTTTTAACTTTGTTATCCCCGAAGCACAGGTGCTGAAGGTAGGCAGCTGCATTCGCCTGAACCGATGGGAACTGGTGCTGAAGCATGTGAATGACTTCAGGCAGTTCTGGATCTCGCCACGCAAACTCCCTTCATTAGATGAACACATTCAAGAGAAGGCATTAGTTATAAATGTATGTTTATTTATTAAGAAGAATTACTAAAGCATCCTAAGTGGTTTTCAACAATCCTGGTTTTGTTCTGGAGTATCAGGGCTAGGAGGAAAAACAGGTATACTAGAATAAACATGAGTCACATCAACTTTCAGTCTTCCAACTGGAAAAGGATGCTTTAAATCCTAAGTTCTTCAGTTAGCTTGGTTGTTGATCGCAGCAATATATATATATACACACACTAAAACTATACCAGCTCAAACACTGCAACCCACATAAATCTCCCCAAACTTAAACATATAATACAACAGATACCCACTTAACAATGCTGCTGAGGAACACCTCTTCCACACAACAATTTTTCCTCAGTGCTTAATGTTTTTCCTAATCTGAAGTCAATTATACTTCAACAAAAGCTGCACAGGCTGAAATTTCATCATCATGATCAGATGCAGGAAGTTCACGTACAAAGGTACAGATCTTAATATATAAATTAGTCCTGATTGTTTAAACAATGTAAAACTGGGTGGAATATGCACAACAAAGTGCCATATGTATTCAAGGAATGTATTAAAAATCTTCCTACAGCAAATATGTAGGACACTTGAAAGCAGAGATGGACTTGCCTGGGGTCTTTCTGAATGCTGTCTATGGATGGGGATCGCGTGGTCCCATCGTCGGCGGGCGTTGCGTGCGGCAGCCTGTTGTAACCGGGCTCTGACAGCCGATACTGCACGGACCTGTAGGGTTCCGCATAGGTAGCGGTTGTGTTCAGAGCGTAATTATTTCTTTGGTATGTGAGTGTGCTACGCTGACTGGATGATCTTTGCAGATTTCCGACTCCTAGTATAAAATCAGTAGTAAAACAAACTAGGTAACAAATGTCTACTGAAGAGAAGAGGCAATACGTGGTTAAAAGCGCGAGCAAAAATAAAAAATCAGTCTTAAAAACACGTATCATGCTCAATGTTGAAAGCTATCGCCAGATTCAAGGGAGCAATTACTCAGTGTCCCAGGGAAGACAGAGGTTAGTTACAGAATTAAAGGTCTGGTGGAATCAGGTTTATGCCTCAGCTTGCCTCAATGAGTATTTAAAGAAACAAATGCATCTTCTGCCATCAAGCAGAAATCTGGATGCAGAAGGTTTTCAAGGTTTAAAATAAAACTAAATTACTAACAGTAACGGCAATTTGCCAACTGTGCGATAAAGAAACAGGAAAAATAAGTAAACAAAAATGTATCTAGTTTATACGATATTTTCCTTTTCCCAGCTACATGTACATTTTCCCCAATAAAAAGCTAACAACAGGGTGATTTCAAAGATTAAGCTGATCGTTTCAAAACCAGGAACATGTCTCTTCCCAACTCAACAGAGCTGTTGTGGTAGCTTTTGTTCTTCTAAGGTAAGTGATATTAGGCAGACAAGTACACAGAGAATTCCACATTCTAGTTCTATTTCCTCATTGGCACATCCTGACAAACTTGTGTTTGTTTACTCTTGGTTGTAGAAGACAAGAGTATTGAAAAAACCGTTGCCTCCTTCAGCATTCCATACTCTTAGTCTTTCACTTACATTAAAGAGCAATTTTCAAACGCGTGAAAACATGACAGGAATGAGACACTTCTCTATAAATATTTCTAGAGAGCTGCTTAGTTAAATCACTCTAATATTTTGACTGTTTTTCAAAATTAGTCCACTATACAAATTATTAAACAACCTTAAAGGACAAACTGCACCGCAACATGTATTACGTTTCTCTTTATGGAAAATCAGTTCTAATACTAATTTAATACCTTTGCCCTTCATAATATACGAGTAGCAATTCTATAAAATACTATGGAAATATTTCAGTTTCAGTATGTGATCTTCAGATATAGTATTTTAACATTATCCTTTGCCAAGAAGTTGGGTAAAACCAGATTTTTTACTGTGAAAGATGTGGTAGATAATTTAAGTGTGCAAGCTATCATTTTATTGTTCCGATGAATTAAAAATATATGAACAAACTCAATTCATAAGAGAACGATGTACAGAGAATGCAAGAGGAAGCAATAAATTTTTTGTCATGAAATAGGTTTTGCTTGGATGTGCTTAAGTGTATGACATCAAACAGAAAATATTCTGACCTTGAGCTGACATTGATATAAAGCCCCAAGTATTTCTTGCAAACATCACAGAAGATTTTTAATTCCTGCTGGTTATTTTCAAAACTAGCTTCTATCTCCATTTTACACTTAACATCCAGTTTTTCCATTTAAACTGGTATTACATATCCCATGTATGTTCTCCTATATGCCATAGGTTCCAGAAAAACTCTAGGAAGTAAATGAAGCCTGACTTTGGGACACAGCCACCGGGAGAGCTTTGGAAGCCCTTGACTCACCTGACCCTGTTCGATACAGCGCTGACTGGGATCCCTGGTGGAGCTCAACCGTTCCATGATTCGGGCTACGGTACACTGGGCTGTAGTAAGTTCTGCCTTCATAGATGGGGGTGATGTGCAAGTCGGGAGATATGGCTGATCGTAACTCTTGTCCTAGTTGACTGTGTTGACTAGCATATGAACTCCTCAGGCCTAAAACCAAGAAAAGGGAAATATGTCCATGGCCCATATTAATTAAAAATAATAAAGCTGTTGTGCTTGAATCTTTCTTCTTCTTCTAGCCAAGAAAAGGTGTTAGTTATATCTAGAGTTATATCTATAACTCTAGATACAGATATCTAGTTATATCTAGAGTTATATTTATTCATTAAACTTTCCTCCACTATTAAATGATCCATACCAAAAGATTCATTGACAAAGCAGCATTTCTTTGATGAAAAGCTTTGTTCATACAGTGACAAGTTTAAGTTTTCCAACTCACTTTTTTGGTAGCACCTATAGTTGAAAGTCTAAAACACAGAGTAAAAACTCAGCCAGCATGTGCAGTTCACAGACTCAGCAATGACAAGGTAAGCTGTGAACCTGACAGAAATCCAGCTCTGAAATAGGGCACAGCCTAAAGGGGGTCATAATCCTAAAAATGAAACAATATGTAGCAGTAAGAGCAAAAGTCTTCTTGGTAATGGTAGCAGCGATTTAAGCATGTGGAGAAAAGTCTTTAAAAAGGTTTAAATAGCCCATGATGTGTGTGTGTATATATACATACATATATATATATATAACTGGTGTTATATTGAACTGTCCCCTCTAAAGAAACATGAAAACTAATTTATACTAGAAAATGTAAGAGGTTTTTGTAATACAGAGAGATTCGTACTCATAGTTTGTAACGAGCACAGGGAAGTCACACCATTTCAAGTTTCCTGGAAAAATTACAGTGGAGATGGCTATAAAATAAAATGCTCTCCAAGCCTGCCTACCACAGTTGCCCATTACTTCCTTAATACTAAAAGCATTAATTTAAAGCATCTGTTTCTGAATTACTGATTCACCATCCCAATAACTCCTTTTTTCTAAAGATGTATCAGTCCACCTGTTTACACAAGGTGATGTTCTCAAGCAGTGGTATTTGTAAAGTACCTTAATAACGTTTTAAGGGCACAGGATTGCTGTTACATCATAAATTATGCAGTCCACGGGACTGCATTCATCTAAACTACTGAACGGCCTTTCATGTCAAACTGATTCCACGCCCCTCACCCCTTCCCAAACTGGGAGATCACTGTCTTGCAAACAGAGGTGAGGGAGAAGACATCTCACATCTTTTGCTGAGGAATGAGAGTATTTTGGGATTTCCTGCACTGTAAGTTTAAAAGAAAAAACAGACACTGTGGTCTGTTCAAAAGAGCACATGGTCTAACTGCAAAATCACCTTGTCTGTGCTCATTTAGATGAAGGTCAGAACAAAACCAGTAACACACACAGAACTTAAAAGGTAAAGTAACTGCATCTTAATAAGAACTGCCTCTCAGATGAAGAGATTCTAACTTTTAGGGCTTTATTTTAAGCTAATATTACAACAGTTACCCTGTATTTAAGTTGAAGTACTTTGAAATAGCCTAGAAATATTAGGTAAAAATTCAGACTAAAGACTAAAGTTCAGTGGTACTAAGTTATATATTTTAAGAAAGAACTAGATGTAAAACTGGGCCCAGCATAGTATGTCTTATTTTGTGTATAACCTGCAAATGTACTTGATCTTTGAAAATACTGAAATGCCTCTGTTTGAAAGACTCAGAACTTCACTTAGCTACTTAAAACATATGATTTAATGTAATGCCAGGCTAGCAATCTTTAATTACTAATTAAAGAGAAAGATGGTATTCACAGGGAACTTAGGTATATAGAGGTGTGTGTGTATATATATATATATGTATATAGGGCACATAGGTATGATCGATAGTGTTTTGACATCAGCATTGACAACTGATTTGATGCACCCACCACAATTACGTCCTAGTGCTACCATGTTTCATCCCTAAGACAACGACTGCATTACGTGCTTTCTACAGCTGTAGGTTCGTACCAAACTTTAAGCTGCGTCTTTACCTTTTTACTAACCTGTAAGGCTGTCTGGCCGTGGAGGGACCATTCTCTCATATATATCATACTGCTGTCCATACTGTTCAATGTCATGAATGGTTCTTTGTAGCGTTGTTCCCAAATGCTGTGGAACTGCAGTCATGCCAGAACGCTTCGGGGAAGAAGATCCCAGCTGAGTTTGGGACGGAGAAGCTACTCTGGTTTGTACATCAGTAAGGGCAAGAGGAGAGCCAACTCTGACCGATGTCTGGTACTGGGAAGTCCCGCCGTTGGGATTTGCTGCTGGTCTGGATGTAACTGAGCCCATCCGCCGCACGGCCGTTGGGGAGGCAGGTCTCTGTGCAGCGTAGGGGGATGCTGCCCGCTGCACTGGCAGAGTGGTGGATGAATACGCGTGAGAAGTAAGGGATCTCTGCTCGGTAACCGATGGAGAACCATAGCCGCTACCCAGAGATGTCCGCAGCGACCCCCTGGAAGGCGAAACACCTGTGCTGACCACGTAAGAGGGAGACTGTGCTCGGGATGGGACTGAACTGACACGTCTCATGACTCGGTTGGTAGCAATATTCACTGATGGCTGTTTAAAAACAAAAACTTCTATTAGATTTATCATTTAGGCCACATAGTGGTTTATTTTCTCCTCTAAGACAGAGAAGTCAACAAGAAATGAACACAATTTAACAATACAGAAAAGCAGCTGAAGAGCAGCTTTCACCCTAAATGTAATTCCTACAAGTTTTCCTATAAAATAACTTTTTTTTCTAACCAGTATTTCTCAATATATAAAATGGCAATCTAACATTAAAAAGCCAACTGTTCCTCATTCTTATTTGGCTTTCTATGTTAACACAGAAAGCACCTATGCTTGCTTTCTTCACTACTCTATGACTTTGGAAATCTAGGAACAGTAATGCAAAGAGTTCTAGTATAAGCTAATACAGTTTTGTCAATGACTGTCTTACTATGACTCCCCAATATCACAACTGAATTTTAGGTGAGTGATACTTTCTTGATATTACATCAGTACTCAAAAGTTTTACTTCATTCCAGCTGCAGTGAACAGACCAGGTCACAGGCATGCTGATTTCAGCACACAAATCTATGTCTGCTGCAAGCTATTTCTGCTTTTTAACCAGTGATGGTGTCAGTGTAATTTAATGTTATTCCAGCCTATACAAAAGTAGGTCCAGTTACACAATTACTGTGTAACTCATTATAAAACTGTGCTACAGACAGTGCAAGGACAGCGATAAAGTGTACAATTTTGAGTGTACCTGGACTGATGTCTGCCCTTCAGCTCGCGAGCTTCTCACCAAGTGGTTATTAGTTGTTCCAATAAGGGAATGCTGCTGTCTGTTTTCTGATTTGCTCAAGTTTTGGCTGTTATGGAAACTGCTCACTTCCTGGTAACCACTGTCAGAATAAGAATTCATTTGTGTTGAACTTCTTGAGTTACCTACAGATCCTGTAGATATGAAGCCAGCATAAGAACAGAAGCATCAAACAACTTCACAAAAATAAAATCTTGCATAACTTTGTTATTTGTTGCATTCATAATTGTATCACATTTTTATACAGTCAACATGTATTTTATACAGAAATGTATTAAAATATTTAAAATGCACACAACAGACCCTCACTTTCATGGAGAGATGTCTGTTCTGGTGAGTAGAGGTTCCCTTGTTCTGGTTCTGTCCTAATGTCATAGGCATTGGTATGAACACTCTCTGACACTTGGGGTTTATTCACACTGGTGGTCGCAGGATCTGAAAGAATAAATTAATTAGGTAAATTCGATGTTCCATATGTAAGTTTCCTGCTAACTCAATCATAATAGTTTTCTCATACATACTAACAAAGAACTTTCTTCCAACATAAACAGTCTACTGGTGGACAGGTATCATATACCAAACCAAATTAAAAGAACGTTAATACTAACGTCTGAGAATCTTGTTTCCCATAGTTTTGATTTAGTTCTACAATTCTGTTTTTTCAAATGTACATTCCAACCTATTTTAATGAAAATTTTAACTGATTACCTAGTAAGTATACTTTGTGGAGTAGAAACATTGTGCAACTGTGTTGTAGAGCACAGCGGACAGCTATCACTTGTCTTAAGGTCCTATAATCTCAAGAGCTTCTTAAGTAAAAAGCCGAGTTGAATTTAATCTGTTTGTGTACCATCAACACACGTTGTTGCACATATTACATATTTTTTATTTCGTATACTACTTATCCAAATGTTTACTTTCAACAACTCTTAAGCTAACTTCAGTTCTAAGAACATTAGCTGAACTTTACAGACAGCAAAGAAAAGCGTCATCATACATAAGAGAAAGCAAAGGAGACATCACGACACTATTATGAAGACAGGAAAAAGTTAAACATAATCTGGGGAAAAAAGAAAGAAAGGACAAAGATAAGGACACAAAGCAACAAGAAAAACAATAGAAATATTAAGCATTCAGTTGCCATCATGTCACACTTATTGATGAACAGGCATCAGAGATGCAGTATAGAATCATTTAGGTTTGAAAGACCTTTAAGACTGAGTCCAACCATAAACCTAACACTGCCATGTCCCTAAGGCATGGTTTAAATGGCAAAAGACATGACTCCTACCGGTGCCATGGGCAGCCTGTTCCAACGCTTGACAACCCTTTCAGTCAAGAAATTGTTCCTGATATCCAATCTAAACCTCCCCTGAGGAAGGGGAGCAGGAAATGTGGGTTACATTTAAAGGTAACACCAGAAATGTAAATTCTTGCTGAAGAAACATATGAATGAGCCTAGAGTGAAAACCAAAATACACATGCTAAGAAGCATCAGTCTAGTAAAAACTTCTGTGACTGCTTCATGTCAGAAGTTGCAAGTTGTGGGCAGTGAAGCCTGCTAAGTGCTCTTTGAAAATGAATAGAACTGCGTATTACAAGAGCGGCAAAACTGTTAGGAGTTTGCAGAAATTTGATGCTAGGAGGGAGATGGAAAAAAGGGTTGAAATAAATTTTATGCAATAGCTAACAGAAACTTTCTCCAATTGACAAAGAATACCCTGATACGAAATCTAGTGGCAACCATGGAAAAAATCCCCCACAAACCCAACAAACCCCAAAACAATAAAAGCCTGACAGATGAGCTATTGGAAATTCTTTACAATAGTTGTTATTACAGTACACTTCAAAAGAAAAATAAAAACCAAAGTATTGGTATCTATCAAGCTGTAAAGAAATACTCTGATTTTTACCAACAGCCATACACAAAATGCTCATGTCTCACTTTACACTATGCAAATAGCACATTAAAAATCTAAACCCAACCAACCTATACATCTCAGACGCTACAGGCAGTCAATACAGTTATTTATCAGTAGGACCTTCTTAGGTCAAAATCATCTAGTAATATTTGATGCTAACTGATTTACCAAATTTTGATTTGGTAAATGATTATAACCAAATTTTATTAAGATTTACTAAGAAGTTAGTACAGTTCTATTAATTTAATCATCAAGCATGCCTAGAAATGATACAGAGAACCACTCTCACTTCTCCAGCTCCTGTTACACTAACCTGGTAACAGATCACAACAGACATCAGTGAGTGTTACATATTCTCTAGAACAAAATACTTGCAGGGACTGGGACATTTAAATTATAATAATAATAATATTTAAACTTCAGTATCTTAACCTTCAATCTCTTTTGTTTAAATAAGACAAAGCCCTGTTATTTTAGTTACTTGATATTACACGATACTAAATCAATGTCAAACTGACAAATAATCGGTTTTGGAAGAAACACCCAGGAAGAACAAAGTTCAATTGTGCAGTGCTGTACAGATCTTCCTCAGACAGAGGTCTGAACCAAAACCTTGCTTCATCACGCATTTACCACCAAGCAAATGCTTTCACAATGCTAAAAAATAAATTGTTTAGGCTCTCTAGCAACGGCAAGAATGCATAATAGAATGAATTGTTGTCTTTCTATCTCTCTCTGCTACTATAAATCATGAGGAGAGTGCCTGGAATAAAATAATAGCCTTTTTATAAATGACTGCTGATCTAATATTCTATTTATAAGCATTTGCAAAACACCATTTAACATTTCTGTTAAAAATTCTGTATAATTCTACTGACACATAAAGCAAGTACAGCTATGGCCACATCACATCATCTACTGATGGTTTTTGATACAAATTCCTATCTGCAGTCAGGAAAAAAAGGTGATTTAAGGGAGTATTTTCATTCATGTTTAACTTCAGTATTTTTCAGCATCATCTAGTGTAATTTCTTCAAAATAAACCTCAGGAGTGAAGCTATAAAACCTAAAATCATGTTAAAATCACAACATAAATGTAAACATTAAATGAAATGTATATTAGAAAATTTTAAACAAAAAATATATTTTTTCAAGCATGCCCACTTCTGAGCAATCACTCCAGAAAAGCCCTACTTCAGATGTGTAGAGATGTGAGAAGTATACATCTAGATTTATAACAATGCATACAGTATTTTAACAGAAATCTTATTTTTTGCCATATGTTAAGTGACTTCCTAGCAGTGATGTGCACAGGAGATTTCTAAAGAAAAGAAACACAGAAATGGGAGGAGAGAATTAAAGGATCAAATAAAAATATAAGCTGGATAGATGAAAGAAAGGGACAGAGTAACTAATAGAAAGTCAAGGAGAAAAACAAACAACAGACAAAGAGTAAGTTACAGGAAAAACTAAGGAGGAAATAATGAAATGGAATAAAATTGGATGAGATAAATCATAGAACAAGTGAGATTTGTCAGAAGGTGTCTTTACCAGTGGTGAACCATTACTGAAATGCTATGAAACCAGGGGAAATAATGTGATATATAAAAAAAAAAAAGAAGAAAAAGAAAGAAAGAAAGGAGGAAAGAAGGAAAGAAAGGAAAAAACCCCACAAGCAACCAAAAAAACCCGCAAAACAAAATCAAAACCACACAGGAGTAATTTTCACATTGAAAGAATAAGTAAAACTAATTTCTTAATTACTTGAAAAAACAAATTTGACTTCTGTTTGAAAACATGGCTAAAAGAATACCTGAAAAGCACCACCATGACCAGCGAGATTTAAATGCCAAGACAAGCAGGCTGTTGAGAATATTAGATTTAAAAGAAAGGAAAAAGTGTAACGTGTGGCTCACATCAGCTGAGGCGATACCACGATGGCAACTGAAACCACGTAAACACAATTATACACAAGTTTAAGAGCTCAGTCTCTAAGAAGAACAGGAAAGGGAAGGAAAAGTAGGTAGTCTGAGAGACTTATTTACCTAAATTAGTCACAATTATCATAATTATGACTGTGCTTCAGTGTTATTCTTTGTACAGCAGAAACTAGACAGCTCTTAAAGCTGCACGCACCCTTATATACGGATATGATACCAACACTATGTAGAACGTGGTTAGTGAAACTTTTCAGAAGCTACCTGAAGTGCTAATTGCGTTTTGATTACATCAGATTAGCTTTGCTTGGTATGACAATCTGTCCAGAGTACACACTGAATGAGAAACACGATCCAGGTCCCATTCCTGGTCCTGCTGCGTGGTTTTGACCTGTTGACTTCTGCACATACTCTTCATCACTCTAAAGAGACAACCACTGTTCAAAAGACTGACTCTTCGATATTAAATATCTTAACTGATGCAAAAAAACCTGACCAGTTCAACGTTCTGATCTGTGAAGGACAGACTGGATTATTTCAACAGACACCTGAACGTCACTTTTGAGATACAGTCCCATCCATTCCACCCAATACACCTACAAGTGGATGTGGAAGTATCACAAGACAAGTGTACCCGCAACTGCCGCTCAGCCAAAACAACCTTTCACAATAAGAGAGGGACACACAGGTCTGTCCGTGTGTGAGAAACAGGATATTGATATTATACTTTATAAAAGATACTTGAAAAAGATACGTAGCATTGCTGCTAATGTTCAGTTCACTTCAAAACAAGCAATGAAAGCCAAGAAAATAACATTTTTAGGGTTTAAAGCAAAATGTACACATAAAAGATAATACCTGATGATCTCCAAGGAAATGACTTCTCAGTTGAGCTGCAGAAATAAAAACAATTATCACAAAAAGGAACCATGTGGCTAGTTTGGAAATATTTTTTTTTTTAAAACCAAAGCATACAAAATTGTACAAAAAACCCTGCAGATAACATTTCAATAGACCATGTAAATAACACTCTGCAGCACTTCACAGCTGACTAAACCGCTGGTTATTGATTCTAATTTTGTATTATTCAGTGGGAATGTCCTGTAACTTACTGTATGGCAAATTATCAACCAGCACAACCTATCTGCAACAGGACAGGTAAGAGCATGATTTAAATTTTAATGATGTAAATAAAACAGCATATAGCATGAGCACCTTTGCAGATAAATGCAAAATTCATCCATGTATTATTAAAATTAGAGATATTTTCCCATAAAAATAGGTATAATATTTTCTCACTCCACATATGAACTATCTAACTGTGAATATGAAATAATTTTTGCAATGATTATAAGCTGCTGTTTTCCAAACAAAAAGCTATTTAAAGGAAAAATAAGGCAGGTCCATTCCATCAGATTTTATGATGTCTAAATATCAGCATGAAACTGTGATTTTGGGTAAGATGTATCTATTTCTAAATTAGTATTGTTTATTTTACTTCCTTCTACCACAGCTACCAATTACAAAAAACTTCAGCACAGTAACATGAACAATACTAGATAATTATTTTCTAAAGTTAAAAAAAAATCATTTAGGAGTCTTTTTTAGAAACAAAGTATTTGTGTACAAAAGAATGGTAAATGTGCACACTAGCACAAACTAAACCACAATTACAATAACATTTAAAGAAAAAGGAGAATTCAAATGCAGGTTGCAAGTGTCTGAAAGCCAACTTCATGCCTAGGTAGTAACAGAATTTTTGTTAGGTATTGGCTAACCCCTCAGTCTACAATTTTAGTGTCTTTTGGGGTGTTACACTATTTTTTTCTTTAGAATGTACATAAAGTGGACCAGTGGACTGAAACCTGGTGTATAGAACAACAGGTGAGGAGCTGAATTCCAGTCTGAGACTTTCCAGGCTCATCTGCTTTCAAGAGTTTCTTTGTGTTCCACTGTATTTCTGAGACACTGGTGGAGAGAAGGGTGCTCAAACACAGACTCTGTCAAATTCAGATGCACGCCTGAACATTCAGATATCTCCTCTTTCCTGAAGGACCATCTTGTCCAAGCCCAGAAGCACTAATACCTTAAGTTCAGACAAAGCTGAAATCACATAGCAGTACTGGAACACGAGTCCAACATCAGAAACACTGAATAAGTACACAAACAAAAATCAACCTACATGCCAAAACGGGATAAGGAATTACTTCAGTTGAACAACATCCTGTGGGTTTAAGAACTTACCCTACATCAGCCAGAAGCTACCTTCCCCAAAACTCAGCGACTGTGAGCACCTGAGTTCTGCCATTCCACCTGAGTGCCAAGTCAGGTGGATTACTGTGAACTACCCTTAGGGGTGCAGTTTAAATTGGGATTTAAACAAACCCAGATTTTGCATGACAGAACCTGCGAAGGCATTTCTGCAAAGAAGGTCACAGCCTCCAGCTAACAGGAGGCAATAAGCAGCTACAGATGGTTATTTCTTAAGCCATTACAACTTTCTCTGCAGAAGAACAGACTAAGTGAACGTGGTCCACAAGCTAGACAGCTCCGTGAGAAACCAAAAGTATCCAGAGACACCAGGACCTCTGCAGCAAAGGAACTGTACGACCATCACCTGCCATTCCAGAGCAGTCAGCAGTGCCAAGACTGCCAAACCTCCACGTAAACAGGGCTTTGGGCTAAAGTTCATTCAGGTTAAATAAAAAGTTAAAAATACTTCTCATTTCTGGTACACGACCATGGAACTTAGCTAGTGCATTAACTCCAGCATGTTTCTTTGGCATATTTTGGGGACTGTAACTACATGCCAAAGTAAATTCTGTGCAACTTTACTGTTTTTTTTTCTCACAATTTGAGCCTTGTAACTATTTTGATGAAACCTTTAAAAATATTTCTATTGTTAAAAATTCATGAGGAAATTTGTACCAAAACTGGTATTGAATTAAAATTGAATTGAATTAATTTTAATTATTGAAAGCTGAGTCCTGAATGTTAAATCTACATTAATTCTTTACAAAGTATATTCTTCATTAAGCAAACTTGAATATAATGGGTTCTTTAATCAATTATGGTTAGCTTCTTCATTAATATTTTGCTCCACTGAAATGAAGAAATACGAAGACTGACAGGTACTGTGAACACTGGCCCCAGAATTCTCATGCTACCTGAACATCAAGTTTTACACTCTTCACCTTTTACTTTATTCCTCAGACTTTCTAGAAACTCCAACCCCTTCCAACCCCTACCACTCTGAGACTCTGTGAAACTCAATTTCTTATAATGAGATTACATCATTCTGTGGTCCTAGCAAAGGTAGAAACTGTTAAGTATCCAGAAATACTTTAACATACACAAGAGTATAAAAAAGCCCAAATGTATCTCTACCCAACACATCTGATCAATCAAACTTTCTTTACGTGTACAGGACTTATGAACGATAAAGGTCGGTCATAAGTAGAAAGGTACTTCATGAACAATTAAACTGGTTAAAAAACTGGTTTAAACAATTAAACTGGTTAAAAATTAAACTTGATTCTTACTAAATTCTTTTTGCAAAAGTCCAGCATCTACCACCTACTGACTTCATAACTGGCTTTGAAGTTACCAAATCTTTCAGCTTTGGTAAGCCCAATGCATTTTATTCCACTGTTTAAAAACCTGTGTGGTCAAACACTGCGGTACCAAGGAGAAGCTGCTGCCATTAGTCATTTTGCTGTCTCTTCCCAACATTAACATGTCATATATCTAAAGAGAGCCCATATATGGCGCACTGCACTTCTAAAAAGACTTAATTTTAGCCCACTATTATCCTTGAAAAAGAATTAGGTTAGTAGGGTAGACAAGCAGAAATTACACTTTTCCTTTCAGAACAGTTTGGTATGATGTACATAGTTTTCAATTAAAGAAGGTATTATTACAGTATAGCAGCTATTTTAAAATGCTATGGAAGGGAAGCACAGATAAAATATCGGACATACAGTCATGTACATCAGAAAAATTGTCACTTCCCTTCCCAATCTGCTTCACAAAAGCACAAATTATAAAGGAAATAAAAATATAACTACACTAAGTGCATATAAACTACACACACCAAAATACTAAGTTTTTAGCTAGCAACACAAATATTTAGTAACTGAAATTGGAGCATGCATACAAACTCTGCTGAAATCCACCTATTAACTTTCTTTGGTTTTGTTTTCGTGTCCCTTTCTTAATTTCACACCTTTTCTTTGCCATCTTACAGCTTTATTTCAAAGCCAGTATCTTAGACACAAAACGGAACCATCTGCAAATCTGGAGAAAAATAACAAATCTGAGAGATGGACAAGGTTTCGTAGGAAGTCACTGATACACAAAATGAACTAAGTATCAGTAGTACGGCTCTACATTCTTCAAGCGACAGCTCTCAGACAAACACTTTCCAGCTTTAGGTTTCAAGTCAGAAAAGGAGGTCAGCATCCATCTCAGGTGAAGGGCTGTGACAGCTCAAGGACCTGGACACACTTCAAAGGCAGAACTGGCTGGTTGCGATCTGTGTCGGGTTTGTGTGGGGGGGGGCAGCCGGGGGTTTTTTTTTGGTAGTAGGGGAAGGGCGAGCTTATGAGAGTGGAAAGCTCAGACCCCCCCAGCCCAGGCTGGGGCAACGAGCACTAGAGAAACGCCTCTGCAAATCCATATTTGTGAGGGGAAGGACTGTCCTGAAAAGAACAAGGTGTGGTATCTGGAGGAGAGACCATTGACAAGCAAAAGACAAGCCTCAGCCAAAACGAAGGACAGACTGAGAGAAAGAGCTTCGTTGCCAGAGGAAAGAGTAGGAAAGGCAAAGACCCACACCCAGTTCACCTGATGGAGTAGGAGCAGACAAAGTCCCCTGCAGCCCGTGGAGATTCAACAGTGGAGCAGAGACCCACGTGTAGGCCATGGATGACCCCACGCTGGAGCAGAGAAGTTGAGCCTGAGGCAAGTGTGATGGAATTGGGACCCTGAGCCAGAGTGGGGGTGGGACTCCCAGAGTGGGGGGTGAGTCTGCAGCCCGTGGATGTCACCATGCCGGAGCCGGGAGCTGAGCCCGAAGAGGTCCGTGACTCCATGGGAAGTTGCTTTGGAACATCTCATTCCTGGACTTCCATGCCGGGAAGAGCAGCAGAGGTGACCTCACTGCACCCCCATTCCCTGTCCCCTGTGCCTCTGCGAGGGGAAGGTAGAGAAATGGGGAGCAAAGTGATTGGAGCCCAGGAAGAAGGGAGGGGTGGGGGAAGGTGTTGTAAGATGTGCTTGTTTTGTCTACTCAGATGATTTGCAATGAATTAAACTGATTTTTCTTCCCTGAGTCGAATCTATTTTGCCTGTGACCATCACTGGTGAGTGAGCCCTCCCTGTCCTTCATTCCTAATCCCGTGTCCCCTTTGTTGTGTCTCCCATCCCATCTCACTGGGTGGGGGAGTGAATGCAGGACAGCATGGTCCCACTGTGGGTCAAAGCACCACAAGACCACAGCCAGGTCTCTGTATGGGATGGCAAGGCTACAGGAACAATACTAAAATTCACATTTCAAATTTTTGCTAAGGAGTCTTAAGCAGTATGCTATTTAAAAAAAAATATGTAAACACAACTATGATCTTCAGTTTCTAGACTGGACAATTAACTTCAATTTTTGGTGCTACACACATCTTTTGTAAGTATTATATGACATGAAACAATTTAAGCCTATTATCTTAGCAAGTATTCCATAAGATGAAATGTTTTTCTGATTTAAACACTACTGCTTGAGAGAAAAGCAGTGATTTCCATTGCACATCTTAACGGCTTGAACACACAGCTGTTGCCATCAAAAAAAAGGCAACAGCTGAAAAAATTATTTAGTATTTATTAAATATTTATAAAATGGTGA